AGACAAATGCAAGTCAAACCCCTCAGCGGCCAAATGCGCACTGGGAGGATTTCCAAATCCTAAAGATTGCTCTAAATGTGTTTGCCCAGGAGGATATGGAGGAAGACTATGCAACGAACGGGTAGAGATCACTCTTTTGCAAGCGAATGCTATAAAAACATTCTTAGCCAAGCGGATGCGGAAATGTTTTGCAAGCTACTACAAGCTACCTAAAATTCGAAGACAACATCGGTCAATCATGGATAAAAAAATCAAGCGAAAACGACTATTTTCTCATGTGCAATTATTGGATAGAGGTGATCAGTTCCTACCATGAATATGGAATAGTTAACATTCTTGCAGGCTCCGCTGGGAAGAACTGTTGAGATAAAATTTCATAATTTCACGGATCGTGTCGCTACGGATGGGTGTTATTTTGCTGGTGTTGAAATCAAAACACAGAAGGACCAACGAAGCACTGGATATAGGCAAGCTACCAACAAATCTCTGCTATCGTAAAAGTGTATCGCATTAGAGTGTGCTCCGGTAATTACACGGGAGAGTTGTTCAAATCTGAACGCAATATTGTGCCTATCATTACCTACAGCAGAATTTGGGTAGTCAAAACGGAGTTATGGTACCGAATGGGTAGGTTCACTCAGCAACGTGCTTAGTTTTTAATCCCGTTATCATTATTTGTTTCATTTCAGTCTGAGGAAGCGTGTTGACAATCAGGCCATTCAGCATTTGATAAGTCCAATAATTTATGTATTACATTACGATAAAGAGTTTATGTCTAATGAAAGTGAAATGAAATGAGATGTTACATTGTAGCCCCACGCGGTTTGATGCAAATTCAGATATGATGTACTACCAGTGGCGGACCCAGAATTTCTGTTCGGAAGGGAGAGGAGGAACAAAAATCTACAAAAAAAAAAGAACAAATGTGCGTAACTTTAGCCACGCACTCCAAAATTTTTGGGATATTTTCAAATCTTTGCGTGAAAAAGGTTGCTAAATTGAATTTTGAAAAAAAACGGTACAAAACTTTCAGTGGCCGTATTCATGAACGTTACCCAGTGGG